TAATCGGCTCATACAACACCCACGGGATGATTGGGGGTGGTGACAATCAGTCACCACACGGACGGGCTAAGAAATAGATCTAACAAATCTATACAATCCTGCATTACTTCTCGTCAATATTATTGTGCTTATTATAACACGTTAAGGGGGAATTCTGAATTAATAACCACATAAGGTAAAATAGTGATTTTATATTTATCTTTTCCTGTACATTACATTACACTTATCGTTTAATGTTTATTTAGAGTAATACATTGCATAAGTTGACGTAATCGCGCTACATATAGCAGGCTTCTCAAAGCAAATATTTAAAAGATAAAATCATGTGTAAGATAGCTACCCATTACGTCAAAGGTAATATGTTTGACTGCACGGATGGCGTTTAAGCTAGCACTAATACGCTGAGTGTTGTGGGTCCGATTCCAACATGGGACGACACTTTGTGTGATCCATAAATTGTTGTTCTGAGTCTGGGTGTTCTTTGTGTCCGTTTCATGTATGTTTGTAAAGTCCCCCGCGATACAGGAGATATTCCTAATGCGGGAGTTGTCTTTAAAAAAAGGTTTTGGCCTATTATACCACGCTGGCCAGTTGATATAGGGTTTGTTTCAAGTTTTCCTTCTCTTGCATATATTGTGTATTTTAATAACTTCACACATCTCACACGACACACGGATTAGACAGCTGTTAACACGGATCAACTTTTTTCTGCTTTTTTAACAGTTTAGGACCTGTGGCAACTGACAAACTGCATGAGACAAGTGCCGTTGCCGGTCTTTGAGGACTTGCTCCTCCGGGAACCTCACTTACTTGGTAAAAAGCTACAAAAGAACTTGTTGTATTTATAGTTCAATTACTCGCCTTACCATTTGACTACTAAAGTATTATATATATCTATGGTATATATATTATCCTTATACTTTGTGGTAACTCTCTTAAATATAATTCTGAGTGTTTCAATTATTATAAAATTCCTTTCAATAATATTAAAGTCATCAGAACTGTTTAACACCAGTTTTCTTTGAAGCCTTGGTGTCATCGATCCGGCCCATATGTGCTAAATCGTGGCTCTCCCATCATTAAAATGGATGAATTGTTCATCAAACTCAAACCATTTTAATTTCATAAAATTGTTTAAATTCGTCTTTTATGTAGACTCTAAAGACATAGAAGAGCAACAATTTGTTTTGACAAATATTTGGCAAAATTATTACAATAGCACATCAACAGCCTTTAATAGCCCACTACTGGATATAGGCCTCTCCTTAGAAAAGTTTTTGGTCTACTATACCACGGCCAGATGGGTTGGTATAGGATTTGTGTCAAGTTTTCCTTCTCTCTGCAGTAGTGTTGTCCTGCGTAGTTTGCTTCCTTAGTCGGCTCTTACGACACCCACGGGATGAATAGGAGTGGTGAGACTCCGTATTCTTAATCCGTCACCACACGGACGGTTCGTAATGTCTAAATAATAGGTTTTTTTCATGCTCACACGGCTTTCGCACGATACCTATGCCTAAAAGCCAGTTTAAATATTTTTTATCTGTCTTTCTGTCTATTTGTTCCGGGTAATCTTCAAAACGGCTTAGCCGATTTCGATAATATTTTACTACCAGGTAGCTGTCTATATAAGGAGTAATTTAGTCTAATTTTCCTCTCAGAAAAGGTATCAACCCGAGGCTTCATTGACTGTAGTCGCGTACCGTAACGGTACTACACCACTAATGCATCGCTTTTCAAAACCCACGCGAGCGAAGCTAGCCAGCCAGTCCTAAATATAGTAATTTTTGTTAATAAACAAAATTCGAAGATAAAACGAAGTAGCGCGCAATTGGAGAGGCCTATGTCCAGAAGTGGACTGCGATAAGCTGATGATGATGAAGGGAGATGAATTGATGTTGGTTTCTTTTTATGATATAGGATGCAAAGAGCAGACGGGTCATCTAATAGAAAATGACTACCGGCGTTGAAGGACATCTGCAACTTAGTAATCGAGTAGTTTTAGGCAGAACGCTCTTTTCTTAAAGTTTCTGTCGTCGCGTCGTATCAATCCAAAGATTTGTTCCACAGATTGGTTATGCGTCATCATCATCATCATCAACAGCCTCTAATGGTCTACTGTTGGACATAGGCCTCTCCTTAGAAAGGAGGTTTTGGCCTACTATACCACGCTGGCCAGGCGGGTTGGTATAGGGTTTGTTTCAAGTTATGCGTACAAATAAATACTAGTAGGCCAAAACCTCATTTCTAAGGAGAGGCCTATGTCCAGCAGTGGACTAGTATAGGCTGTTGATGATGATGTGATGATGTACAAATACTTAAAAAAAAAAATACAACTAATAGCGTCTCAAAAAGACTGATCAAATTCGAAACATATAGCAGCGTAACGGAGTTTAAAACTGCGTTACTTTTACACACAGTTTTTATAGTAACAATTTTGCATGTGGGTACATCAAGTTTGTAGATAAGTACACACTAGGTAACATAAAAGTTTACGACTGTAATGATTAAGCAATGCATATTGTAATGAAACCAGTAAATAAAAATGTTACTACCCACTTTATTTAGGGTTTTTTTACGAGCACTAAACGTGATGCATGTAAACAATGTAGAATTAGTTTATTGCTCATGAAAAAGAATTTACGCGATTAATGGCTGACCATAACTTAGATTGTCTGATTATTTGGAAAGGTTGATTAGGCAGTGGTCAGAGTATGCCTGCTGGTCACAGGACGTTGACCAAAGCCAGAGGAACCTGGTGATAGTCCAAGATCCGACTTAGAAACGACCTCCACCTATTCTTTTGGAATTGTAACTTGTGTAACTTATATGATATGTTTTTATGGTGAATAAATCAATTATTATTATTTGTTTAATGTTTAAAAAATATTTTTACAAATGAATAAAATTGAAGTGTCTGTTTGTAATGTCAAAATAATAGGTTTTTTTCATGCTCACACGGTTATTTGCACGATACCTAAGCTTAAAACCCAGTTTAAATATTTTTTATCCTTTTGACTGTTTGTTCCGGGTAGTCTTCAAAACGGCTGGACGGATTTTCATAATATTGTACTACCAGTTAGCTGTCTATAAAAAGGAGTAACTTGGGCTAGGTTTCGTCTCAGAAAAACCATATAAAATGTTTCCCGGTCCGGGAATAGAACCCGAGCCATCATGGACTGCAGTCGCGTACAAGACTAAGGCAAGCGCTTTTCAAATTCCACGCAAACGAAGTCACGGATAACAGGTAGTATTATAGAAAAAAAACCTTTAATTTAAAATGCTACCGCAAAATAACAACCTCTGTATGCATGGAAAGCGGGTAGACTTTGCCATCACATCAACAGCCTTTACTAGTCCACTGCTAGACATAGGCCTCTCCTTAGGAAGTAGGTTTTGGTCTACTATACCACGCTGGCCAGATGGGTTGGTATAGGGTTTGTTTCAAGCTTTCCCTCTCTCCGCAGTGCCGCTTTCCTGCGTAGTTTGCTCCCTTAGTCGGCTCTTACGACACCCACAGGATGAATGGGGGTGGCGACACTCAGTATTCTTAAGACTTTGGCATCGTTTGGATCTAAACTTCAATGCTAAACCAGTGCAGTTAATGCAGATGGGTGAAGGTTGTTTCTAATTAGGATCCTCAAATTTGATGTTTATTAATAAATGTAATAACTATTTATTAGTAACAATAAAAAAACGAACAAAGTTCCTTATCGCGCGCTACACGCTCTGGATGGATGGGAGCAAGACCGAAAAATGTGTAACAAGACTTTTTTTCGACACTTCTTGCGGAAAGAACTTCGTTCCGACCGGGTCGTTCAAAAATCCCTCGCGCCGTTTTTTGTTTCAATATCATGGAAAGAAAAAGTTTGAAAATTAGTAAGTCATGGGTCGGACCCGTGTACGCCCCACTTACCCTTACCCCATCCGTTTTCTTTACCCAAATTTACTTTTTACCCTAATTCTGTCTGAAAACGATTACATTCCACGTCGGTTAGTCATAAAAGAATAAAGCCAAAATATTTTGCAATATTACACATTGCGCTGACTTCAAATCAAATAAAATTGATTACAAATTAGAAAATGGTGATAATGTTTATTAATGATAATTAATTTGAAAATTAAAAAAAAATGTAGTGTGTTAAAAATCCAGAACTTTTTAAAAAGCCTAAATTGTCCAAAATGTCATACGTGCACTACCAAACACCGTTAATATTATGTTAATATTAGATGCGCATGCGCAAAATTAAAAAAACAAAAACACACCCTTAAAAAAAAAACGGTCTTACAATAATTAAAAAAACAGAAGATTTATTTATCAAAATATTTAATAATAGTAGTTGTGACCGGTATAACTTAAACTGTCATTGTATAGGCTTTTGTAGTACCTTACAGGTCAGGATATATTCTGGCCTTTATAGCTTTATGTGTAGGTTTTTATATACTTATTGACAAACTAATATTAGCTTTCTGTACTGTTTTTACACTTGTTTCACATTCCTGTTTCTGCGCGTTTATTAATATATAGATAATTCATAATTATTTATGGTATTTAAAAAATACAAATAAATCAATTTTTTTTTATGGCCGAGGATTCTTTCGTTTTCTTTTGCTTTCTAAATTTTTATATATCTTCTGTTCTTCATCTTGACAAAAGAGATAAACACCCAATTAATTATTTTTACATTTATTAATGTCAATAAAAAAAGGTTATTTCTACTCTTTTTGTCAAGCTATAAAATTATTATAAAACCGTAATTTAAGCCTACTAACTAAATAAAACGTTTGATTGTTGCCAATTAAAAACTATATCACAGAAATATTTCTATAAAAATTTCATGTGTTCCATTTTAGCCGAATATCCTTTAATTTTTAAGTGGAGTGTGGAAAGTGCAAGGAATAATACACCATAAAATGTAACAACACAGAGTACAAAATAATATTTCATAGTTTTAAATACAATCAATCGCTTTATAAAAATGTTCTGTATTACAAGCCCTTACCTCTTTTTAACATTATAAGTACTAGCGGGAGCAGAAGTAGGATGTGCAGTCTCACCAAGGTTAATAATCTTTGTAGCGCTACACAGAAAAGAAAAGAAGAAACTAATACAGTTAAAATACATGCAGTTCTAGAAAAAAAATTAATAAGCATTACAATTCTACAGAATATTAAAAAATAAAATCACACAAACCCGGGTTATTGAAATATAACAACATTTTATACAATTTCATTTCATGTACATTAAAATATACTAACTGTTCAATGTTACAATTATTTTATTTATTATTTTTATATTCCAGAAAAATGAGAGGAAATTTAATAATCTGTTGTTACATTGTACCTTCCAAATTATATAACTACAATAAAATTTAAAAAAAAATGCAAAATATTTTAGAATACCAAAAGCAGATAGAGATAAGTGAGAGAGAGAGAGAGAGGGGGGGGAGAGAGATTTTAAAAAGAGTTAGATGGAGTGACTATTAGTTGGATTCACATTCACGTCATAACATTGCAGACAACATTACAAATAATTGCATTTTAATAAAAACTGTTGTGCAATATCGTCGCTGGCATCATATCGGAAATTACTCGAATTATTCTAACTTTATTCTAGAATGTAATGAAATAATATAATAAGTAAAACTATTAAGAGAAAAAAGAAACCATACCCACTTTCTTAATTACAAATATTCACACTATGAAGCTACAAGTTCGTGACGGCAACTTGGCCACGGATTGACTTGTACTCGGGCCCCACTACTACAGGTAGGCGCATTTTATGATTATAAACGCAAAAACATAAGGCATCGTATTCGACGACTGCTTAAATTCATCCGAATCCGAAAATAGCATTTTTAACATTTTCCAAAAAAAACAAAAGGTAACAAAAAACAACCCCAACCTCCTCAGAATAGATTGTAACGCGATAGGACGTAAGGCCACTTAAAGATTAATATAAATGTAAGTGGTTAGTTAGGCTATGCTACTTTAATATTGGACTCTATTGCGTCGGGAAAAGAGTTTCTATTTATTTATAAATAACTGGTAGTGTAGAATGGCACTTCTGTACAACTGGTTGGATGTAGTGGGTTCTGCAATGAAATGTTATACAAATGGGTTTCATTAACCCATGTGTCATGAAAGGTTTACGTTTAGTGGAAGTGTTCAAATTCCCAGATGCAAGGCATGCGTTATAAATTAAAATGAATGTAATTTTTTTCAGATGCTGATAATTAAAATATTATTATGAAACAACTGCAATTCGCAAGTCTTTGTAAAAATAGAAACACACTTATAAGCAGATCGATCTATTCAGATCATGTGTTTCAATAGACAAGCAACAGCCTTAAGAAAAATGCACAAAAATGTTTTATATTTTCAATTTATTATTTGTTAATAAAAAAAATATATTGATCTACCTACAAATTAAATATAGTAATAATCAAAATCTACATATGTATATAGTACATCATGATGTTCCATTTAAGTCAAATATACTCTACAGGGGCCAAGTGCGAGTTTATATCACTTCTACTCGATCGTCACGGTGACAACGTTCGGCGCTGCCATTGGCCCGCACTCAAATCTCCACCAATCGCAACGCTAAACGCGCTCGCCGTCGACAGCGAGTCGATGTGAAATAAACTTGCACTCGGCCCTCTGAACTAACATTTAACTAATACCATTCTTCTTGACGTTAGTCATCACTTAAAGTATAAAAATCGCCTTTGAGTTCTAATCATATTAGTTATAGACTTATCATATAAAGATCGATAATGTTATCTCTGATATATAAAATTATTTTCTTTCATTCCCTAAAAAAAATCTCGTGTCGCGGTGTTTGTTACCAAACTCCTCCGAAACGGCTGGACCGATTTTTATGAAATTTTTTGTGCATATTGGGTAGGTCTGACAATCGGCCAACATCTATTTTTCATACCCCTAAATGATAAGGGTGACCAAAATAAATAACCCAAATATAAATATTAAATAATTAATACTTAATATTATTAATATTATTATTATCTAAATACTTTTTAGTCGTATTATTTTTATTTTATTATGATTTAGCATTGAAAAAAAATACAAACAAAAAATACAACTTCAAATTTTCACCCTTCTACGTTCAACCGAGAAAAAAACCGTCATAAAAAAATATTTCCTAGAAATAATGTATATGACAAAAGAACGTTTGCAGCGTCAGCTAGTCTAAATATAAATTTGTGTGACAAGCTTATATCCCAGTGGCTTCTTCATTTCTTGTTACCCCGCAAGCGTCAAATAAGCGGCTTATCCATGGCAGATGGCATAAATCAGCCAAAACCCATTGCAATGCTTTTTTTGTACGTATGAAAAGGCCATCATCCCATCAAGGTTTTCAGTAAAGCGCTGTATCGGAATCGAACCGAATAAATCACAATGTGTGCCATACATACGCCCCTAAATAAAATCAAAATAGGATCAGGACACGATAGGTTATCAAGATTACAATCTGCACATTTCGATAGCCATTAAGATAAACGGCTCCATTCAATATAATTCACCTATCAGATAGCCACTTAAGTTTAACACGTTTTTATTTTTTTATTTTATCTGATACAGTTTGAGCCTACAAACAAGTGCCAAGCGTTCCTAGTATTACAACACTTATACCGTACATGTAAGAATGCGAAACAAAACTAAATAAATTGCCACTTAGGCAAATATCATTGTGATTTTCTAAATTAAATTCAAGGTCGCGATTAAGGCCAGTTATGTATTTAGTGGCATCTGCGGTCATAAGACGGATTTACGAGTTGAACCTGGTCTATTCGACCAACTGCAGTCTCAGTTTAAATTCGGATCCTAGTATCGTAGATTGCCCTATTCGTCTTTTTTTAACGGTAATGAGGGTTATGTTTTTCGAGCACGGCTTTCGGCTCAATTACTAAGACTAGCAGAATACCGATTCAACTTTCGGTCACAATACGATATAATCACATTACAGTCAACGTTGGATTTTTAATACTTTTGCTATGAGAATACCTTTCATGACATTTGGAACTGAATTTTAAACTAATATTTATTACGAAAATTGACCTTCAGGTATACTAACTAGTGATGGACCAAGATACAGTGTCGTAATTTCCATGAGTATCTTATAATTATTTCTTTACCGAACACGTCATACCCTAATACTACCGTAACGGACGTCCCCTATTATAAATCACGACTTATCTCCTATCGTAAACTATATCATAAATTCTTTGCTTATAATTTAATAAATGCAAAAAAAAAACAATTTTTTTTTTAGCCGTGGATTTTTTTCTTTTGCTTTCAAATTTTTATATATCTTCTGTTACACACATTTAACAAAAAAAAGGTTATTTCTACTCTTTTTGCATAGCTATAAAATTATCATAAAACCATAATTTAAGCCTACTAACTAAACAAAACGTTCGATTGTTGCCAATTAAAAACTATATCACAGAAATATTTATATAAAAATTTCATGTGTTCCATTTTAGGCGAATATCCTTGACTTTTTGTAAATTATTTCTTTTCAGAACACGTCATACCCTGATACACGTAACGGACGTCCCCTATTATATATCACGACTTATCTCCTATCGTAAAGTATATTATAAATCCTTTACTTATCAATATTTTAATACATCGTGTCTTCGTGTGTAAAATCAAAAATTGTTGCACACAATTCACGATAATAAAACAAAAATTACGACGACTTTATTGAATATTTATGAGTATAGTTTCGTGTTAATATCTCCTGGGCATCAATTCTGCTATTTTATGTTCACGCCAATCCACTGCCATACTACTGACAAGCTCTTGAGATGCCATCGAGTGGCCCTTGTCATCGGTATAAATATCGGTAGGTAGTCTACACTAACTCAGTGGCAGTGACTCATCAGTGGCGATATCAAAAAGATTGCCATTAATCAATCATCATATTGGAAAAATAAATAAATCATTTCCTCAAAAAAACCTAATATTAGGACTTTACCTATGAAATTGCCGTTTTGTATGCAATAAGTGAAAGTGCACCTACCGACTATTACTTTTTTCCAAAATTTAGACAACTTTTTAGTGGGTAAAAAATTCAATTCCCGAGAGGCAGTACAAAATGCCCTTGAAGAGTTTGTTGCCTCCCGTCCAGCTGATTTTTACAAGAAGGGCATCAATAAACTGCCAATGCGTTGGCAAAGATGCGTCGATTGCATGGGTGATTACTTCGAATACCAGAAATAAAAAAGTTTGAAAAAATAAGTACTTTCCCTTATTGCATACAAAACGGCAATTTCATAGGTCTTATTTTATCAAATTATAAGAAAAATAAATAAATCATATTAATCATTCATAATAATTATTACAGTCAATCATTATAAGAAAAAAAAAATCATTTCCTCAAAAAAAACGTTAAATATTTTCAAATTATAAGGAAATGATTTATTTATTTTTCCAAATATGGCAAATGGCACTGCCATTCCAGCGCCACTGTAAAGACACTGAGTTAGTGTAGACTACCGATATTTATACCGATGCCAATGGCCACTCGATGGCATCTCAATAGCGTGTCAGAGGTATGACAGTGGCTTGACGTGAAAATAAAATAGCAGAATTGAGGCCCTGGAAGCCAATTCTCTGTATGAAAGTTCGGTCAACATTCAGTTCCGATCAACTCGCAACTGTCATAAACGGTATTTTCGTAGAAACTTTTCTACGAAAATACCCTTTCGTAGTCTACGTAGTAGTAATACTTATTAAATATCCAACATTTACTGTAATGTGATTATATTGTGACCGAAAATTGAATCAGTAATCTGCTGGTCTTAGTATAGGTTATAAAATTTTAAATGTGGCGTCACTAAAGTTGGGACATCTCCCGCTCTTTGTCACACAATATCACACTTCTGTTAACGTGTGACGTAATTTATCTAACGGGAAGATTCATATAAAGAATGGAATACAAATTCATAAGTTTTAATAATAATTAATACAATTATTTTAATTTTGTAAGTTAACAATCAGCTAGTTTGGTTATTTCATTCCAAATTAAACCTGAACGTTAAGAATATAAGGTTGAAATACGCTTACCTTCTAGTTATGTCCAAGTTAGCTTCCCTTGGTATATTGTCGTATAGTGCAATATAATAAGCTATACATATAAAGATTATTAAAGAACAAATGACCAGGTTCCTCCGCGAGCGGTGCCATCTTTTCACCATAACTTTTATCTGAAAACAAAACAAACAAAATGGTTATATTCAGACAATATTGCAAATAAATATGACCCGAGATAAGTTGGCAGACGAATTTCGATTTTTATGGCATAGGGGAGTTAACGAGTATGCAGGTCACCTGATGGTAAGTGACTACCACGCCCAAGTGCGCAACGCAACTCAAGAGTCATAATTGAGTTGCGCGCTGTGAGCCCCACCTCAGCCCGAACCTTTTGTACCATGACAGGTCATAATGTATACTAGTTTAAGTACCCGTTTTCACATATTTTTTTTACTTAGTTGCAGATATATATAGTTTAAACATTTTAGCTAAGCTAGACTATGAGGGGCACTCATAGTTGGCGACACACGTCTGTCTTGAGTTAGTGTCTATTTACCATGAAGTAATTTAAAAAAATACATACACATATAGAACAGAAAATTTAGAAAAACTTATTTGTTTAATTTACAGGTCGGTTCAACAGGCATTTCGCATTTCCTTCATTACTATATTAATAACTAGTGAGGATAAAAGAACACTGCAAGAGAAGGCCAGCGTGGCATAGTAGGCCAAAGCCTCCTTTCTAAGGAGAGGCCTATGTCCAGCAGTGGACTATTAAAGGCTGTTGGTGATGATGATAATGAGGATAAGTATCGTAAAAGACGATTTACTTAATCGATTACTAGATCCACTCCAAATCACATGACAATATATTTTTAAAATTAAAATACCGTAAAATAAATTAAAATTAAAATAAATAATGTGAGAAAAGAAATAGAAAGACGATTGAACCTCAGCGTCAATAGAGGTTCATGGGGTCATTTGTTGACAATTAATCGTAAACTTTTTTTTGAGAAAGTAAAAAAACAGTATTCGTTATCTTACTAAGCTCGCAATCTATACTAATTTTATAAAGCTGAAGAGTTTGTTTGTTTGTTTGAACGCGCTAATCTCAGAAACTACTGGTCCGATTTGAAAAATTCTTTCAGTGTTAGATAGCCCATTTATCGAGGAAGGCTATATATCATCACGCTAAGACCAATAGGAGCGGAGCACCAATGAAGAATGTTTCAAAAACGGAGAAAATTTATTACTGTTGTTAGTGGTCAGCTAGTTGTTACATAAATTTTATGTGGTTCCACTAACAATGCGATCTAATGCATTAAAATAGAATATCTGAGTAAATTTACTCCTTCCAACACGCCACGCAACGGGACGCTACGCCACGCCACGCAACAGCACGCCACGCAACGCGATAAAAGTTGATTGCTTTTTAATGTCCTATATGTAGGATCGTTAGCGGCTCTGATGTTGGAGACACAGTTTGACTACTACGTAAGCATGCCTTCTTATTCAATGGGGTAGAAGTACACCAGGTGGACGATCACATATAATGGGCATAGAGCAACCTCCGCAATATTCGAAAAATACTCCGTTTCAATCCATTATTCGCTTAAAACCTGGTCAATTTTTCGATGACTGTTAAGTTCGTTTTTTTTAACATAATTTACCAAGTAACAAAATATTTGCTACAATATTTGGCTTATGCAGAGGTATTTTCGCTGTACTTGCACTTTTGAATGAATAAAAATTCTTTATTTAAACTATATTAATACTAGCTATATCACGCTGGCCAGACGGGTTGGTGTAGGGTTTGTGTCAAGTTTTCTTTCTCTCTCCAGTGCTGTTGTCCTGCGTAATTTGCTCCCTTAGTCGCCTCTTACGACACCCACGGGATGAATAGGGGTGGTAACACTCTGTATTCTTAATCCGTCACCACACGGTCATACAGCTTAATCAACTAAAAGGCATACCAAAGGCACCTTTAGGTGTGCAATAAAGAATGCAATTTGTGTGGAACCCAAATTCGAGCGATCCCAAACGTGAAGTTTACCACTCCAAATTAAAAAGAATGTTGAAAATCAGTTCATAAGTGATGGAACGCCGAAATAACAAAAATAAAAAATCAATGACTTCTTATTTGAAGTCGGTTAATAGGAGCAGGATGACGGTCATGGTGACGAGCAATGAGAACAGACTAATGGGCTTCATCCATGGTTGAAATCATATTTTTTCTTATAAAATTCAAAGATAAAATATGTATTTCCCACCTTGGAAGCACCTAGTAACATAAATTCCGTTTCCACTCCGAAATAAAATCTATGCAAGGTTACCGCAGAATACTTTTACAGTAGTGGTGAAGTCATTCAATAATATTTGCTTTCTTTGTTTAACTTAATTGATAAGATAAGGAAAGCAATAAAACTATAAACAGATTTCTTTGGTCTGAAAGAAACGAAAGAAGGAAGTTAGCTCATGGTAAGTGAGAAGTCTATTTATAGCTGGAACTCACGAGTCACAGGACAAATATGAGTCACCTGTGACTTTAAAAAGAGCTGAACGTATCGCGCCAGTTTTGAACATAGCTCTAAAAAGCACGAGATTTCTCTAGAGGATGTTAACTAACGTAAATATATATTTTTTTAATTAAATTATTTATTTGAGTAACTAAGACTCCGAGATGTTGGTAACAATTTGAACTTACAGCTATATTAGAATGTTTTATAAATTAGGGTACTCATTGCCTCGCAGGAACAGGCGCGGCTGAAACCCCAATGCAATGAGTTACATCACATCATCAACAGCCTCTCCTTAGAAAGGAGGTATTGGCCTACTACGCTGGCCAGACGGGTTGGTTTAGGGTTTGTGTCAAGTTTTCCTTCTGTCTTCAGTGCTGTTGTCCTGCGTAGTTTGCTCCCTTGGTCGCCTCTTACAACACCTATGGGATGAATAGGGGTGGTGACACTCTGTACTCTTTATCCGTCACCACACGGATGCAATGAGTCATATATAGACAATCTAGTCTACTCGCAATCATCATCAGTATGCTGTTGGAGTTGACCGGCACTCAATTGCTTTTTTTATCGTTACTACTCAATTGTGTATAATTTTACATATGTATTAGTTAGTTGTATATATCTACTACATAGCCGAGTACTTTATTTAATTAATTTTCTAAGAAAAAAGATATTGCCACTAACTTGTATTGACACGATACATTTGCCAAGTCGTAATGGTACCAGAACAAGGCAAAACACTGTAAAACCAATTGCAGTGTTTTGCCTTGTAGAAACGCATGTAATTAATTTTGCCAAAACATATATAACGATACACTGCATCTAATGCAGCTTAGATGGCCAGAGGGGGGCTCTGGACGTCCAAGTTCAGAACACCATGCATCTGGGCGTGGATGTCTGGGCTGCGCCGCGTATACTGGGGGGCGGGGGTGGGCACAACTGCGTTTGACAAAATATCTCCCTGCGGCAAGTGCAGGCACATCAGATCACCCCTCATCGGACTACTCACAAACTCCTAGAAGGTAGCGTTTCAGCACCCGATCCCTAAAAAAGGTGACCGCGCTGATCTGTCCAACTACAGGCCAACCATAACCCCTTTGTTCTCTAAGATTATGGAATTATTATCCTTTCGACCAGTCCAGTATGGTAGTTGAACGGCATCAACGTGCGAGGGATCCGTCCAAAACACTGTATCTTTATCGACATGCCTAAGCAACGTAGCTTGTTTAGGCAAAACACTGTAAGCTTTGTTACAGTTTTTTAACATGTTAAAACCCAAATTTCAATACAATACAGTATTGTTTAGATTATTGTTTCTTCTAACATACAGTTTAGAATAACAGAAGTGTTGATCAGTGGTTTTAAACCCACGTAAGGAAACTGATTGAGCGTTGTTAAAGCAAAACACTGTAAGTTGAGTTACAGTCTTTTGGATTAAGCAACACACATGGGACAACACTTTATGTGATCCACTAATTGTTGTTCTCAGTCAAGGTGTCCTTTGTGTCCGTTTAATATATGTTTGTAAAGTCCCCCGCGAAACAGGATTTATTCCTAATGCGGGATTTTTTAAACATAAACCGTATCTGACGAATTCAGGAATTTAATAAATTATTCAACTCTGACGAAGCATCATAACATTTAATAACACCAAATACTTATAATTGGAAAGTTTAAAAACAAATGTTATGTTATGAAAATATTTGACGGTCACCACGCGATTTTAAAGCCTACATACGAGTATATACCTATTCAAAATATTACCATTATCAAAAAGTAAGTAAGTATTCATACAGGTATGTCCATTGGTCCACGTCAGAATGGTTTTGGAACAATAATCATTTGCAAATGTACGAGTGAAACAACTTATTTACAATAACACACACGTGCAAACCTGACCAGGTATTTCGTTTTCCGTGTATACAAATGTGTTTATGAAGTGATAACTTTATTAGTAGTAATTATATTCTTTCCTTCTTGCCCATAATAGGACCTATTTCTTAGCTTTTAATGGATTCACCGTGCGGGTGCCGGGTCCACGGCGCGACATGCGACAGCGCCTGCGAATTGCGATCCAGGAGTCGGTTTAAGCAGTTCTCGTTGCGTCAGCGCTCACTTCCAGTGTTTCTACTGTGTTACCCCCTCTACCTAACCATATTTGATATAAATGTAACAATGCCGCTTTGTATATTCGTTTAATTCACACACATATAAACGTATAATAATATACTTAACGGAATAACACACACATATAAACCTGACCAGAAATTTAGTTTGCCGCGTGGACATATGTGTTTATGAATGATCATCTATACTAATATTATAAAGCTGAAGAGTTTGTTTGTTTGTTTGTTTGAACGCGCTAATCTCAGGAACTACTGGTCCGATTTGAAAAATTCTTTCAGTGTTAGATAGCCCATTTATCGAGGAAGGCTATAGGCTATATATCATCACGCTAAGACCAATAGGAGCGGAGCACCAATGAAGAATGTTTCAAAAACGGAGGAAATTTATTACTATCGAGAGACGCAGACGAAGTTGCGCGGGTCAGCTAGTTTTTAATATGTGGTCACAACAATATAACGTTTAACACATTTTATCCTTCTTGATAATAATAGGACATCCTATCATAACATAGATAACGTAAATTTATCAGA